TTCGGCCAGTTCTGCTATACGGTGCAGAAACTTGGCCATTAAGCAAACAGGATAAAGACAGACTGTCGGTGTTTGAACACCGCTGTCTACGCAGCATTGCACGAATCTGGTGGGGCAGCCGGACGAGCCATGTTGAGGTTAGGGGCAGAGTTTTGGGTAAATACGGTCTCCCACTGGAGCAAGTGATCGACCTCCATAGATTACGTTGGTTGGGCCATGCGTTGTGCATGTCACCAGATAGGTTGCCCCAGCGAGCGATGTTTGCCGAGGCAGGTGGTGTCAAGTCAAGTCAAGTCAAGGAATGGTTTTATACACCCCGAGAGGTGGATATTCAGCAAACACATAACCATAGTGTGTCAAAAAATACGTAAAACACAATAGTATGATACAGCAGTTAAAAGGATGTGAAAAGGGACGGCAATAACCAAAATGAGTGGCACACTTGGGTGTTCATGAAGGATTTAGTGTAGTGTTTGACGCAGATTTCCCATAACGAGGTCTTGGTTTGTTAAAAATCTGGCGAGATAAGGAACAACAGACCACCTGTGAGCTTCAGTGCGAGTCTTAATGAGTTTGTGAGTGGAACGGGTGGATGAGTGAGAAAGGCAGTCGCTAAGAGAGGAATAAAAAGGATGGGAGATATCAGATAAAATCTTATTAGAGAATGTTTTACAGGACTTGAAGTGATGTGTCACCACAAACTCTACTAGATATTCCCGTGGTATGAGACTGCAAACGGAGAGAAATCTGAGGGATCGGGAAATTAGTTTGAGGTCCTTGTTCAAAAGACCAAGGAAGATAACAGGGGACCCATAAAGCCAATGTGGCAAGACGCACGCAATGGAATGGAAAGGGATTTAAGGCGTAAAACATAAAAAGTGAGCCTCCTGACCTTCAAAAAAACGTCATTGACATGGTCAGACCAGGTGAGGTTATGATTAAAAATAACACCCAGGTATTTAACAATCGGTTTGTGGGTGGAAGAGAGCCGAAGGTGGTCAAGGTAAGACCTGGAATGCGGGTATGAAAACCCGAACCGGGAGTCTGGGTCACATAGGTCCCATTAGGCCACCTGGCTGGGGACCTCACGATGGTCTTAACCGATGATTGGAGACATCGAGTGGTATGGCTGGGTGTCGTAAACAGTGGCGTTGATGCATCTTCTCGATTTCTCTGCATTATTAGTCCACTGAAGTTCTCAATTTTCTCTCCGATCCTACTCTGAACCGTCTTGTTTTCCTCCTTTTGCTCACTCAAATGGGCAGCCAAAAGACAGCACGGAAATGCATGCCTAATGATTGTTTAAAGTGAACTGAACTGAACTGTTTTACAGGCTTCTTATCTGAAACCATGATTGTAAGTCATATACATAGACATCATTGTCAAAGCATCGCTCATGGAAAGTCGCTATATGCAATAAGCTGAATCGTCCTTCTCACGATAAGTTTTTATAGTTTGTTTCGGTTACGGCTGAGCCCGATAACATTTTCAGTGGTGCGCAGCTTCGCTGTCGTTTGGGTTAATACCACACCTGTCCTATTTGGGCCGTATGTGGTTCGCCGTTCCAAGTCCCGGTCCCTAAATTGCTGGGTTTCAAAGCTGGAAAGTAGATCATCGTGATAGTAGGATTCACCCTTTTTAACTGTTTCCCACAGCAAGTAGCGTTTACCAAGAAGGCGTTTGCACCATCGTCGGAGACATCAGCACATCCTAATTGTTCCTTTTTATTACGTGATAAGCGTGACGTAAAACAATGATCCATCATCCCACTGCCTAATAAAATTGAATATGCTAGTACTTAGATTATCCGAAAAACTTGACTCTTTATGTGCCTGTACTTCACGATGTTTACTGTGTTATATGTAATGTATATTTTCCAACGTGTATTTACTAGAGCAAACCCGTGTCCTCGAATTCGTAGCAAAGGACTTGTGGTGGTGGCGCAGTGGTTTAGTCGCTGTCACCGGCGTGCTTTGGACCCTGTGGTCCGAGGTTCAAGCCCCGTCACCGCCATCCGACTTTGGTGGTAGGCAGCTCTGCTGTCGTCCGGTTCAATACCACGCCTAACCTATCGGGGCCTTATGTGGTTCGCCACTCCAAGTTCCGTGGCTTAGGTTGCCGATTTCAACCACTGAACATCAGGTCCTCGTGACTATGGGGTTTGCCCCGTCTGNGTCTGCTGTTCATCACACCTAGGTGTGTAATAAAAAAAATAAACTTATGGTTTCTCTACTATCATTCAGCCCATTTTACGCTGAAGTTGAAACCAAAATGTCCGTCATTTCAGTGCATCTTTGAAAGTAAACCCGGATGATTGACTGGCTTAATGGAGTTCACACGAGAGCAAATTAGTAAAGTGCATCAAGAAATCTTTGGTAAGCTATTTTAACTGCTGAGATTGTTGAGCTGTAGGGCCCAAAGGGACTCACAGGTCCAGGCCAAATACCTTGCGGAACACCAAACCGGTCCACACAGATGGGTTACACGGCTCTTCAGAAACGGATAATTCCAGCGTGGCGGAAGCTGAGCTACTGAGCACTGTAACACCATCACCGAATCATTCTGTGAGTTCTCGCAGTGGTGCTGTAACCACGGATGTATATGGCGCTTTATACACTCCAACCTCGATGGCGTCGTGGAAACCGGAAACCGAGGTTGAATGTTTCAATGTCATTTTGAATCGCAATCCTTCATACGGCTTTGGCATTCTAATTCGACGTGGTCTGTCCACACAGAGAAAAACATTGCAAAAAAACGGACAATTTCTGGAATCCCGCTCTCACGTAAGTTGATTATTTCTTTCGTGTGTGAGTTATGGCAATGTACTTTTCCTGCTCGGTGACTTTGCTTACAGCAGACTGGGTTGTTTTCATTGTTACTTTGGCCCTAGAGGTTCACTCACTACCAATCGACTTTTGTCATTGGTCTGTGATTACGGGGTTCCCTTGTTGTGGTACACTGGAGGACACGAAAGTAGGTGAGTTAGGCGTTCGCGGTGGGATTCAAACACACAACCCTCAGGTTGATTCGATATATGCTATACTGGTTGTCAACCGCAGTTGATTTCGAATCTTATCGTAGAAACTTACAATATGGTTCGTTTATCAAAAATTGGTCGTTTTTCACGATGTGTTGAATCCGTTTGTTTTGCCGCATATAGACCAAGTAACGACGGCCAAATGTCGAGTAGTAACTTAATTTGTAAGTTTGTTCACATTTTCCTATCAGCATTGCGTTAGTATCATGCTTTAATGACGTTGAACGATTCAGTAATAGTCGTCGCAAGGAGGCCTTAATCTTCTAACAACATGAGTGGAGAAGCTGGATTCGGAAAATGAGTACGGTTAGCATAAAGAATTACTTGACTGGACTGATTGACTATAATCCACCAAAACACATATAGTGCCTTCCTTGATTTTTAAATTTCCGTTTGATTTAAAGACATCAAAACGGTTAGATGCAAACCATTAATTTGTCTATATCTGATCTAAACAATTGAATTATGTAAGATAGTACTGTGATAACTGTATCCCGACTTGAATTTTCGGAAGCTTGGTTAAACTTCAGTATTGATCTCCTACCAACGATACCAGTTCATCCGTGCTTGTCCAGAAATAGGTGCTGGTCCTATCTCATGATACCGATATCTGTGGGGTGCTTTTATTTGGAGCAAACTGATATGTCACATAGTGTCTCCCTCTCCGGGCGTTAATTGTACAGTGAACCCCATTGTGATGGAAAGAAATGACGGAGTGCATAGGTAAAGGGATGATACAGTGCACTGTTTGTGTGCTAAAATGTATGAATACACATAAGGGAGCATGTTCGGGTTAAGGTCGCATGAAATTATGCTGTAACTGTTCAAATAGCAATTCCCCACACTCCCTGTCTCTAATGGAATTTGGATTTATCTTCCAAACTGGTTTGAGAGCGTCAGTCAGGTCATTTGAAGATCTAACTGTGGACATGCGAAAGAATCAGTCGGGACCAGCCCGATCAATCACTCTCGATTTCTGCACCTCGTGATTGACAATCTGTAACTCAGTTGTTCACGATATTTTGTTCGTATGTGTGTCTTCCTTACATTCCTTACTTTACTTTCCTCCCTCCCCTCNTTTTCCTCACATTATCTAATTGGCTGTTTCATTTCTAGCGCAGATTTTGATGACAAATCACCGGATTACGTGAACGCATTGTTCTAGGTGTTTGCATTTGTGCTATTTCTTCGGTCACATTTACTAATTGTTTTGCTTGTGATACCTGCTCTGGCACAGTATCTTTTCGTATATGAATACGGCTCACGAATCTTCATTGTCTTAGAATCGTTCATTAGATAATTGATTTATGTATAAACATCCTTTTCCCTCTATCCATTTCATCAACACAAGGAGACATGTGGACAGAATTGATATTGGCCATCAGTTTCGCCAAACGCAGAATGAGAGCGAAATGGATGGCCAAAATCGATTCTGTTCACATATGTCTTGTGTTGATGAACTAGCTGATTGTTAGATTTCCATTGACGTGACAAGCTCTTCTCTTATTCATTAAACTGAATGTTGTACACTCACTCATACTCTGTTGTGTTGGGATAGGGTATCCGTAGGTATACGAACTCTGTGTAGGTGCTATACCAAACGACGGTTGGCATATATCCGTATCCGGCCGTGTTGATGTCGATACTAAAATAAAGAAACAGTACATTGCTTAATGACACCCGAGACTATTTCGTGTCCCCATCTTTCCCACTCTCTTCAGGTTCTCTATGCGGAACCCGGACCATGTGGAATTCGGTGTGGTCTACTTCCAGGTGATCGACTATTGGCTGTGAACGGCCAATCTGTCGAGGGATTTGTTCGAAATGAAGTGATTCAGTTGATTCGGTCATCCGGCACACAAATCACTGTCCAGGTGCAACCCAGTCCAGAACTTGTCGAGTTCTCACTACGCTACTTGGTCCCATTCACGGCCGTTTCGCCAGCGCCTGAAGCCTATCGCGTGTGCGTTCGTCAGCATTTGGTTGAGATCGGAAGTCTGCGCCATTTATCGGAAGAACTGTGCAAGGCAAGTGCAGTTGTTATGCTGTTGCCCTAGTTCATGTTTCACCGACATTAGTCATTCTTTTTTTTCTATCTTCGTTTGTCTTAAATTGTGTAACTGGTCTTTTGGTACGGTCATATTTTCTTATTGCTTTTTTCGCTTGGAAATGGTCTTTTTATCTCCCGAGATTTGTTTTATATCCCCCAACAATTATTACAATTTTTCTTCGGGTTTTCACAAATTTTTGGTCGCATACGATTGAGAAAAAAACAGAAATTCGAAATGCATTCACAGTGGGGAGCTGTTTTGTTGGTTTTTTCGCTTTGTGTGTATCTGTGTGCGGTTGTGTTTGTACGCTTGCGTGCGTGTGTGTGATGATATCAGCAACCAACTAGGCGCATATGCGCATCTCCGACAGCCTATCCGATCGCTTCTGATTGATCTAACTTCACGGTGTGATCAAAGCACTGAAGAGGTTTGAGTTCATTCGCAAGTTGGCAATCGATCGAGACCCCAAGCGAACACGAGTGTGGGCAAGATTTGTGCACGAGAACTGTTGAGTGATTACAAAACCGAGCTGGTGTTTCACGGCGTACACCTTTGTGTAGCATATCCATTCATTTCGTCTCTCGTTGAGTTCTCACTTCCCCGCGGTGTGAACTTACTAACCGAATGCGACGTCCTCTGTCCTCTGGTACGTTGTTTATGTTCTCACACTGCTCGTTTGGTCAGATGACATTTCCTGTGCGAAAGCAAAACGCAATTGTTGTTTTTATCACAAATGCGGTGCAGGACTGCTTTGAGCTAAGTAAATGCGAAAACATTCTTGAGCTCTTTATACATATATATGCGGATTATTATGTGATCATTTTGTGGTGCCATTTATACTAGAAAAATCAGTAGAAGCTACGCCGTAACTGCACATTCTCATTTTACTGGTACATTGGTAGTTGTTCGTCCCGACATTTATCGATCAGCGTAAGTAAAATCCGTTCGGGGCAGCTTTATTCCCTTCTAACGGTGAATTTTCAGTTGCTCATAAATTTCTACACCATGGGAGCGTTGCATATTGAAATAGGGGTTCCGAGCGATAGAAAAATCTCAACGAACCTACCCATTCTGACAAGGCTTTATTGAAACTGTTAACGATTGGTGTCCGGTAACGAAGATAAACAAAGACAAACTCATTTGCATGTATTGCTGGTCGCCGATCCAGTCTTCTTCTTTGTCGTTTCGCTCTTAAATCTTTTTGGTCTCATTTAGAAACTTGCTGTTGTCATTTTGTGTATCTCTACTTGTCATTATTCAAATGGAATATGCTGTGGTGTCAAGTAATGATATCCGGTCTTAAAATTCTTACTGAACAAGTAAAAATGAGTTAACTCACTAATAATCCCTGTTGATCATCGCTGAAACAGATTTTGTCTATCGAAGTTTTGAATGTAATATTAGTTACAGACGCATAGTGCCTCAGTGTCTCATCAGACCGCCATACTATTGGTATGTTGGTTTGAAATTATATTATGATGTGTGGCTCACATTCCCTTGTTCCAGTTGCTTATCTTGTAATCCAGATCGTCCTCCGAAAGGTAAACTTGTGACTCTGTTTCTCAGCCGTGGACTGTGAAACTACTTTGTGTGGACTAAAAATAAACCAAAATCGTTTTGAGTTAACCACTGTCACTAACACAAGAGGGGGGGGGGAGCGTTGGGGTTCAAATCCCCTCGGCACAGCCACACACGTTGGCTTGTAAACTGCTGCTGTCTTGTACGATTCAATAGTGAATATCCATCCTACCATGCTCCGGAAATCTTTTGGCCATTTTACTCAATATCGTGGCCTTCGATAGCATGTGTTGATGTGCAGCTAGTGATTTTTATTTGACTGTATTCCAGCTTATTCTCGATTTTGAACTGGTCACTGATGGACTCACTTCATCTATTCGTGGATATAAATCGCATAACCTGCAGCGAGTGCACAATTGGAATAAACTATAGAGCACTTTTTTCGTTTCAACTCCCTCTTATCTCGCGTGGTTGATTCACCTTTTGGAATATTGTGCACGTCAGTCTTAATCGCATAAATATTCACATCAAGAGTTTGGATTAGGGAATCATTTGATCGCGCAGTACCGGATGAGCGGAGAAAACAGAAAAAATGGTCGTACACTCCCAGGACATTCCGATTCAGTCACATGTGCATTAAGTATTATAAAAAATTGACCTTATTGTCAAGTTTGTTGAAGTCGAAAGCATCCAACCTGTAAATTAATCGGACCATGGAAAAGTATTAGTTGTTCGTGATGGGCGCACTGAGATGCAAATCAAGATACTGTGATGATATTTAAAAGCTGAGCAAACAACGTGTCTCCAAACTTTTACGTTGTTTCTCTTTTTTTCAACAACCGACTACGTGCAAAAGTGTGTGGGAAATGACAACGTATATCGTCGGACGGGGGATGAACGAGTGATGAGCCTTGTGCGAATGCATTGCTAGACATGTACGGACCGGTTCAGATCTTGTGTAATGCTTTCATTGATTCCTACCCGCACATTATTGTCTTCCTGACTGTACTCCTGGGCCATATCGCTCAAATTCTTGATATTTCGAAAGATGTTACCCACTGCTTTTACGTATATGATACTACTAATGATAGTGTATTTAATGCCAGTATGAATAATAAATAAATAAAGTTGTATACGTTCCGTACTCGGAGAATACAAGTATGGGAATGACCTGACAGACGGTTATCGGATACACCAACCCGATGAACGTCGCCAGCCATGAAATTGGTGCTACTTATTTATTCATATTCTACTTACTATTATCGATAGACTAGGAATATGCCATTGTGTCTAGTTTTTTGAGACCAGTAGCCTCTGACCCGTAAAGTTTATTTAGCATCATAGTAGTGAATGTATTCTCTTTGTTTGCATTGTGTGCTACCGTTGTTTTTCATGTGTTCACTTTGCTGCACTGCCTATTCAGTCGGACGGAATTTGTCGTCCAAGGCACACGAGAAAACAATGAGGTGCTGCCCGCTCGCTAAGTACACACACACACACACATTTTCCAGGGTACACAGTGCGGTGAGCCCTTCGAGTCACATCTTCCCTCATTTGCCCTGGCAGACTAACGTAGATCTTACCTGCGTTCACATTGTCAAAGTGCTGTTAGGTGTTAATATCATTGTTGTTTGTTTGTAAGTTTTTTTGGTCAAGAAATTGTAGAGTTAAAAATCCGCATATAAACTTTATAGTTTAACTGTGCACGCGTTCTTCTACATAGCTTTACCTGTGATCAAAATGTGGCGGGATTATCATCGTTGTTGCCATTTCGGCCCTAGTTTTATCTAATAGTGCTCATCACTCGCAGATTATCGATATTTCAAATCTGGTTAAACAAATGGGTAAGCAATGACAAAGTTAGACAGAGAGCATTAGATAGTCATGGTCGCACAGAACGCAAATACTTGATCTTCAAGAATTGCAGTAGTTGTGGCACGAGTCATGTATTTCATTGCATAAACTTCTTTGGCATGTGTCGAGCCAGTTAGTGTGTGATGGGAGGAGTAGGCAGACTGACTTGGGAGTAAACGTATGAAGATTTTAAACGGTCATGCTGGGTCACCTGTGTGTGTGAGGAACTCGGGATTAACTCAGCCTATGTTTGAAGATGTTGAATGTTATAGGCAATTGTTGTATCTCTGTTCCCTTTTCACATACATCTAGTTGACCTGCCTTGTTGTATAATTATCTTAGTGGCATCCTCAATGTTACATTTACTCTTGCTCTGCTTTATTCATGCATCATGATGTTACTCCTCAAACGCGAGCTGTGGGTGCTGAACAGAAGCACTGTTGACATTACATCCTTTCCGCAGTTTGTACTTCAGGATGGAGGAAACCACATGAATGGCAACAGGTTACTTGTAGACGAAGTATAAAAAATTGTACAAATAGCTCAGACAGAATAGAACTCCATCATCTTCCAGCCTTAGGTCTAAGACATCCACGAACTGACAAACTGGTACCACTGACGGGTAAGACGTTCGTTCAATCGTAATAGTGTGCTCGTTGTTCTGAAAAATTATGTTAGTTATGTTAGTCCTTGGATTGTCCTCATTGATTTGTTCCTCTGTCAGCCCGAGCAGGACCGTTTCCTTATCCACCTCACTCATAGTTACTTTTTGCACGTTGCCAGTTTGACATTGATGACGGCTACGCAGTTCACTGTGGTTGTGTGATTTTTTCGAATTGATCTATCTATGTTTTTCTCACTTATGTTTGCTTCCCGTTTCTCCCGACTTTATTCGATTCATACAAGAGGTACTGCACCTGTTTGATCGTTTACCTTCCGTTTTGATTTATACTAAAGCTCATTTTTCTCATGTTGATGGATAGATTTTCCATGTAATGACTTGTTCACATTGACCTTATCAGTCGTAACCATTTATTGTTTATGAGTATTCTTTCATCGATTTTTGTTTTCACAAGTATGCGATTCTTAGGTATCATGGTCAATATCTGTGTGTACACCTGAATCTTGTGAGCACGGGCATGGTGGAAGATAAGCAAATACACAAACACATGCACACAAGGTTCTCGAACTTCCGCTGGTAAATCCTCGGTGTTCGTGACCGGCTTGGCATTGATTGGTTGCTATGCTCAGTTGCCATTGGAAACAGCCGCTGACTGGTTTCTGCAGATGAAAAGCTTTTCTAAATCTTTTTTCTTGGATGAATGATCCACATTTTTTCAATAGACCACACAAGTCACGATTTCACTGCCTTCAGTAGCGATCCTAAAAGAAGCGCACGCACTGGAAGACAATCCCGTTTTACGGAGCTTATCAGAATACCAGAACATCACATTATTTAATCAGCCAGCGAGATGTTTTGTCTATGGTGTGTGAGGAGTTAGTCCGACCCCGTTAAAACCAGGCTCCATGGCCTCTACAAAGGATTCATATTTGTTTTATAGTATGCATAACGATCAAACAATGTACTATTCGGTGTGGATTCTTGAAACCTAAGCTGTTTGCATGAATAGAAT